ATAATTTTTCCTCAGTTTTAGATATTAACACGGACGATGCGTGTTCCAAGATCCACACCTACCATGGATCCTCCGAGTTCGGAGATCACCTTACCTTTTAGCCAAGATCCATGTTTGGATCCAGTGGATCCAATCTTAGACTTATCTTCTGACCAGTAGAAAACCTTATCTCCCAAAGAGAAAGGTCCTTGGGTCATTGACAGTCTGGCTGCAAGATCTCTACGCAGATCATCAGATTGGCGTGCCTCTTGGTAAGCCCTGTTGGCAAGCTCCTTAATGGCTCTCGCAGTGACTTCCGTATCAGTTGGATTACCTGTCACTGATTGGGATCAGCGTTCTCTGGTGTTATAACATCTCGAGGACGCCTTCCAAAGGCCATTTCTAAAGGAGTAACTCCTCCGTAGGTAATCGAAGAGTTTCTTGCCAAACATGCTTGGCGAACGAGGTTGCCATACTTCATGGTGATTCCGTTATACTGCGGGTCACCATCCTTCAGGATCTGAAGTATGATCTTAATCTGATGCTTCAGCAATCTTACAGCAGCTTCGGCCCTGTTGGGCCATGGTGTTCCAGGTCCTGTTGCTACAGGCTTGATATTCTGCCGATTGTAATAAGCCTCCATTTTTGGAGTCATGAATGCTTGATCTCCAACTACAACCTTTGGGTTGATCTGAAATTTCTCAAAGTAGTCATTCATAATCGACATTGTAGTATGTTCTTCTTTATCCTGGACTACTTCGGCAGTCAACAAGTTTGTTGCTCCATCATAGAGAATAAGAAATACTAAGCGACTATCCTTGCCGGGAATTGGAAGCTCACCGTGATCTACGAAGGTGAGATCACCGAAAGTCTCTGATCTTAGACCAGAAATCTTCGCTCTCGAAGGAGCTCTCACATGTTCCTGGCAGGCTGAACACTTTTTGACCAGTTGGTCATATAGCTCGTAGATCTCCTTTGGGATCTGTAAGGCTTTTGTGCGTCGCTTGAACTGATCCGTACTCATGTGACGGTGCTTGAGGTGAAGCTTATAGAGTTCTACAGGGTCCTTAAGCTTCTCATGAATCCTGCGAAGAGCAATGGGAAGAGATGGCGATGGTTCTGCGACAATCTCTTCACCTGTAGGTGAGTCTGTACCAGGAGCCGGGTATTCTCTTGACTCAAGTGGTCTTACCTCCGTCCCGTCATCAGCTCCTGGGACCTTAGACTTCTCTTCAACAGGAGATTTAACCGCATATTTGCGGGATTTCTTCAGAAGGTTTTTAAGACCCTTTGGAGTCTTTATCTTCGCAGGTGGAACCTCAAGTCTTTCTTCTTCTGGAGGTTCATGTGATGCAGAGGATTCTGCAGGTTTGTCCCTAGAACCTGATGATGGTTCCGATGGTCCGGAAGGCTCAGGAACATCACCAGATGGTTCTGGTGGATCAAGTTTCTTGGCAGATGATTCTGCCGGATCAGATGGAAGAGGCTTCTTTTTCCCTGAAATCCTCTTCGGTGGTGGATCAGCTGCTCCCTCAGGTGCTTTGTCACAACCCTTAAGGTACGTGTGAGCCTTTTTCTGTCCGGCACAGGCTGGACAGCGACCTTCCGGTATCCTAACATAAGGCTTATTGGCTCCTAGAGCAGTCTCCGTCGCACTGAACGACGTACCTGACTTAGGGAGGTACTTCCTGGTGGAAGTAAAGCCTAGAAGGTCCAATACTAAATGGTTATTGGTGCTAATCGGAAGAGGGGTTTTATACAAACCGAAAGCTTCACACGTTGCTAGGTCAGCTGTTGGGCTACACTCGAGGGTCATTCTTAAATTCCTCATCTGTTCAATGGAGAACAAAATGGGAACTCTCCCCTGATCCAGAACTTCTATGGTTGTATCTCTTCTTGGAGTTGTGTTAAACCATAGAGTTACACGCTCCTTGATAAGAGCTGTTTCACTATCTGCGAAAGAGAACTTCGTGTTCGAAGGTGAAAAAGTGAAATCAATCATGCCTGGGGCACGTTGCTTCACGGCCTTGATAAGCCTGTTCACCGCATAGCGGGAACCCATAGCCCTAGTACAACCAGAGTCAAGTATGACAAAGGTAGGGCTCTTATCAAGATTGATCCGCTCTGTGAGAGCAGATAGGACGGTGTGCTGCAACGGAAACACTGCTGTTGCAGTCTCCACACCTTGCCCCTCGGATGGTTCAAAGACCTGGGGCACGTAACTCACTGATGAGTTGTACACGGGTTCTTGGTGCGCGCTCGGATCTGTGCCTCTACCTGATGATCCTGCTTGATTTCTTCTCTTCTTTTTCCGTGTCTTTCTTCGTGAGGCTTGTGATGCATAGTATGTATAAGACGTTTGATCGTCATAAGCGGCATAATTCCAACTGGAGTCAGTATAATAACTGTCCTCATACCATGAATCCCAGCTCGGTGCGGTGGAACTTTCATAGGCCTGTGGAGATCCAGTTTGATCTCCTTGTAAGGAGGCAGACTTAGCTGTATCCTTACCTTTGCCTTTTGATTTTGTACCCTTGAAGGAGCTTCCTTTATCTCCTTTGTCCTTTCCTTTTCCTTTGCCTTTTCCACCTTTTCCTTTTTCCTTTCCTTTACCTTTACCGAAATAGCTGGAATCAGTTGGATCATGTTCTGCCTGGTTGGCTCTCCCTTTTCCGCGGTATGACCTAAAACGGCCACGTCCTTTTCGCTTGCCACCCTTTGCTCTTCCCGGTGATCCGGGACGCATTCTTGGTCTTCTTCCCTTTTTGAATCTCCTTGCAACGAAGGCTTCATGGTCGTCAACTGTCCAGAAGACAGCTTCTTCATCCTCGGCGGCAAGAAAGCCTTCCTCAAGGGTGTCTTCGTCTTGGAGCCAGAATCCATCGACTCCGTCGTATTCACCCTGATCGAGGATGAGGAAGTTTCGACCTCCGCGTTTGCGGCGTTGATCTCTCCTTCCATGGCGGTCCTTCTTGTGAGAAGTGTGCCGAATATTGGGATCCTGCAGACCAGTTCTGGTCGTTGAGAACTGATCGAACATGGTCTGCCGTACTATAGGGTACGTGTAGGTCTCAATTCGGTAACCTTGGTTGGTCAATGCTGTTACCAACCTCTCACGTTGCATCTCATTTAGGTCGGACTGCACTAGGAAGAGGAGAGCTAGGAGATTATCATTTAGAGGAAACGCTCTTCGATGATTATCAAGGCGTTCCTTGTTCCATGTTTCGAAGAAACGTGCGGCGTATGTGTCTCTCTCGGTTGCATCCTGTAGGCGCAAGAAGGTTTGATCTGCCTGCACAGCCTGCATGAAATCCGGATGGGCATCTTCCAGAGCTATCTCTGGTAAGAGATCCATCCATGAGTTTCTCACGCGCTGTAGCACGATCTCAAACTTAGCAATCCAAGTCACAAAGTCTTGGTTGCCCTTCCATGCCTTGAATAGGCCGAGGAAACGCCACAGGAAAACGTACTGTTCTCCTTTCACGAAAAATGGACGCATCTTCTTCTTGAAGTAATCTACTCCATCTGGGGCTGCAAGCCTTTCTCGGTTCAGTGATTCCTTTTGTACTGCGGCCAATCCGGAGAGCCTCGTCTTGAGAGACGGACCTCTTTTGGTGTCATCCAGCGTTGTTATGTCGCACCAGTCGTCAATCAACTGTTCATACTCAAACCACGAGGTGGTGCCATCATAGGCAGGCGCGATCTTGGGCGTTATGCCTAATGATGCAAGCATGCGGTCAGATGTTGCATATGACTGTGCGACATAAGTAGCTGGACCTTGGGAGGTCTCTTCGTTCTCATATCCCCCGGAGGATTGGGAACTGCCGTCGGCTTCGCTATGCGAGCTCGACATTGTGCTGCCTCTTGTCCGCTTGGTTAAGCGTTCGGCGAGGCCGACCGCTGTAGCGGACTTTGTGAGGCGGGCGGCCCTTTCCGGGCTCCGCTACCAGAAAACTGTGACGATACACCCCCAAGGGATACTCCTTGTAAGGAGGTGTATGACCAGTTTATTCCCTAAGGATCAAAGGGCAGCGCCCTGCACACGGACAGTAGTTGTTTTGTCTTGCTACGCAAGGAGAGCTTAACTTGTCTCAATATGGTAAAACCACTGTGAGCCAATGGGCAGCGGAATGTATATGTATGAGCATGCAGCCATTGCTGTAGGTACCTGTTAGAGCTACCCCTTTAGAGGTTTATGGTTTCTCACCCCCCCCCACCCCCACCCCCACCCCCACCCCCACCCCCACCCCCACCCCCACCCCCACCCCCACCCCCACCCCCACCCCCACCCCCACCCCAGGGCCTCAGACTTGGAGATGCAGGGGGCTGACAAAGCAAGGTAAAAAAGTACCCGAATTGGTGGGGGCAGAAGTAATTCAAACTGTAGCTGCTTATGACTGCATAACCCTGGTTACTAAGTCCCATGATCCTGTAAGTAGCGATCAAGAAACTCTGGACATTTTCTTGCAGCTCGAACTCCAAATAGAAAGTCTGACTCTAGAACTCCTAAAGCCCCCCCAAATCTCTGAATCCTATAATGGTTTACTTAGAGGATCATGGGACTTAGTAAGTAGGTTATAATTGGGGTTATAAGTCCCCTAAGTGGGGTTATCCTAATTAAAACCTACTTATAACCTTACTTACTAAGTCCCATGAGCCTTCAAGTAGGGTTTTAGGGCTCCGAAAACTTTTAGCCCTCAAGCCCAGATCAAGAAATATCCCTACGTAAACCCTCGAGCTGCCGGAGGGGGCCCCCAAAACCTTCAAGGAGTCTCAAGTATGGGAGTTTCCAAAAATTAGGGGTACCGTATTTTGGGGTCCTTATACTACGGATCGTACTATTAGGGTACTGTATTTGGGTCCCCTGTTCTCGGAAACGCCCATATTAAGAAACCTTGGGTCTTTATAAAGCTTCTTTGCGTGGATCCTGGTGTTTTGAGGTTATAAGACCAGGGTCTCTTCATCAGATTTCTGCATTAAGCTTCGACATTGCCCTAAACCCTAAACCCGATACCCGCGTCCTGGTCCACGCAGCTGAGCTCAGACTCCTCCTCGCAGACGCAGCCACTGTCTGTCATGCAAGACTCGCGACCTGCAAACGGCAGGCTCACCCCTCGCGCGGAAGAGCATCCCTAAATGTTTGGAAGGATTTCAAACTGCTACTCCCCAAACCCCTAAACCTCTTCTTATGCATATATAATATTTACAGTTTATTTGTATGTACACATAACATACATACAGACATACATACATAAATGGTTAAGACGGTTAAGAACCCTTCACCCGAAATCGTAACACAAGTCGATGTTTGGGAGCTCATCTAAAGCCTACCCGAGACCTGCAAAAATCCACTACTTGGAGGATCAGAGGCCTTAGGAAGTATGGTCATAACTACTTGGGGCTACACATAGGCCCCAAAGTAGTTCCTTTTTGGGATTACCTTATAAGATTCTAGATACGAACCCCAAAAAGGAACTACTTTGGGGCCTCAGGGTATAAACAGTTATACATAGAATTGCCAGCTTCATTTATAACCCTATTTCATGATCCTTTAAATGGGGCCTTTCTTCCCAATTTCTCCATGTACCCGATGGTGTTTAACAGCCAAGCGATGCCCCGAAGCGTCGACCGTCTAAAGGATTGATGATCTCCACCATTAAATCCCGAAATCAGAGGAATCCCTCTCGTAAATGCTTTCCTCAGACACGTCCTGCTACTGCAGAGAGGGTGAAGAGGCCTCTACAACGTTCACACGACAAGCAAGGACTCGTGCCACTCATGCGGCAGAAGATTTTGGGTACAGACTGAAGATAGTAGCCATGATACCATAAGCAGAGAACCTTAAATCCCATTTTGCCTGAGGCATGGCGACAGACGCGATAAGCTCCGCAGTCCAAGGGACCTTCAAATCACAGCACAGGCTCAGTGCAGCTAATTGAAGGGATCCTTCGTACAAGTACAGATTTCCATCTTGTTCTATAATCCTGAATCCTAAGCCCTTAGCTTGTCAATCCTTATGGGGAGCTCGTAGCACTGTCAGCGAATCTTTTTGAGATTCTTGGATTCTTGGGTCTGGAAGCAACTCTAAACCCCAGACCCGAAACTCCCTAAACCCTCAACCGCTCAATATCCTACCTTCATTCCCTGAAGCACTTTCGCCTTCACTGCAAGTTGAGTTTGGCCCCGAAAACACCAAAGACCTCTAAAAGCGCATACCATTACCTTAAGGACCCTAAACTATGAGAACTATGGTATATTCTTTATTCCCCACATCACTGTGGGGTTTTTATTTTGCGCTGCACCGCCCCATGCCCGCAGAAGCCCGCCCGCCCCACCACGCGCGGCACACACAACACACACACACACACAACACACACAACACAACACACACAACACAACACACACAACACAACACACACAACACAACACACACAACACAACACACACAACACAACACACACAACACAACACAACACAACACAACACAACACACACAACACAACACACACAACACAACACACACAACACAACACGCACAACACAACACAACACACACAACACAACACGCACAACACAACTCTCCTCCGAGGGCTCTCGGAGGCTCTTGGAGGGCTCTTGTTGGATCATGCGCGCGCTAAAGGGGTCCTAGCTCTTACGAAGAGTCTTCCGCGACTAAAGTCCTCTCCTCCGAGGGCTCTCGGAGGCTCTTGGAGGCTCTTGTTGGATCATGCGCGCGCTAAAGGGGTCCTAGCTCTTACGAAGAGTCTTCCGCGACTAGAATCCTCTCCTCCGGGGGCTCTCGGAGGCTCTTGGAGGGCTCTTGTTGGATCATGCGCGCGCTAAAGGGGTCCTGCTCTTACGAAGAGTCTTCCGCGACTAAAATCCTCTCCTCCGAGGGCTCTCGGAGGCTCTTGGAGGGCTCTTGTTGGATCATGCGTGCGCTAAAGGGGTCCTGCTCTTACGAAGAGTCTTCCGCGACTCAAATCCTCTCCTCTGAGGGCTCTCGGAGGCTCTTGGAGGGCTCTTGTTGGATCATGCGCGCGCTAAAGGGGTCCTGCTCTTACGAAGAGTCTTCCGCGACTAAAATCCTCTCCTCCGAGGGCTCTCGGAGGCTCTTGGAGGGCTCTTGTTGGATCATGCGCGCGCTAAAGGGGTCCTGCTCTTACGAAGAGTCTTCCGCGACTAGAATCCTCTCCTCTGAGGGCTCTCGGAGGCTCTTGGAGGGCTCTTGTTGGATCATGCGCGCGCTAAAGGGGTCCTGCTTTTACGAAGAGTCTTCCGCGACTAAAATCCTCTCCTCCGAGGGCTCTCGGAGGCTCTTGGAGGGCTCTTGTTGGATCATGCGCGCGCTAAAGGGGTCCTGCTCTTACGAAGAGTTTTCCGCAAAGGGGTCCTGCTCTTACGAAGAGTCTTCCGCGACTAGAATCCTCTCCTCCGACACCTCTCGGAGGCTCTTGGAGGGCTCTTGTTGGATCATGCGCGCGCTAAAGGGGTCCTGCTCTTACGAAGAGTCTTCCGCGACTAAAATCCTCTCCTCTGAAGGCTCTCGGAGGCTCTTGGAGGGCTCTTGTTGGATCATGCGCGCGCTAAAGGGGTCCTGCTCTTACGAAGAGTCTTCCGCGACTAAAATCCTCTCCTCCGAGGGCTCTCGGAGGCTCTTGGAGGGCTCTTGTTGGATCATGCGCGCGCTAAAGGGGTCCTGCTCTTACGAAGAGTCTTCCGCGACTAGAATCCTCTCCTCCGAGTGCTCTCGGAGGCTCTTGGAGCGCTCTTGTTGGATCATGCGCGCGCTAAAGGGGTCCTGCTCTTACGAAGAGTCTTCCGCGACTAAAATCCTCTCCTCTGTGGAGCTGTTGCAAACTAGCCTCCAGCAGAGTGCGACAAACAACCGGAAGTAGAAAGCACCGCCGCTCCGAAGACGAGTCCCTGCCTTCATCCAGCCCAGCTCTTCCATCAGCTGAGCCGCGCTTGCCTTCCAGCCAAATCAAACACTTCAGGACAACCAAGGTATGCCGCCTCAGTTTCGTCTTAAATATTGCAAGGACTCCCTGAATCCGCTCTAGGTACCTAACTACCCCGGGTGCCTGCCAAGCATCTTGCACGGCCACATGCTCCGACCTATGGAAATGCAAAGCTGTGTTTTGCGACGAATCCGAAAAGGAATAACCAACTGAGTACCGGTCTTGAGGCTCAGCAACTCCTCCAATATCAATATGAAAATGAAAACATAAATAAGCATTAGCAAGCAAATCATCATGCTGTGGCCAATCCTGCTCGCACTGAACCAGCGCGGCAGCCAGTGCTGAATGGGATCCAGCGGCATCTTCAAGCCTAGACGAGGTATGCAAAGGCAACACAATAGCACCCTCAGATTTCGTTATGGTTCATGCCCCAAGCTGCGAGCTGTCGTTGCAACGTGCTTGAGACCGCCTGCAAAGCGATATGCGAAATATCTATCTATCTATATATATATATATATAAACTTTTTCAGGAGAACCCCATGCCGGATAGTCATCGTAGGACCTCATATGAAATAGGCATAAAACGAAAGTGGATGAACCCAATATCCAGCCAAGTCTTCTGCTCCTGTGCCCCTTCCAAGCTGGCCTTCGGATTAACTGCTACAAGTGACAGCAGGGACCAGCTCTAAGACAACGCGCCTTTACGGCGGCCAGCTCCTGCTTCAGCTCAACAATATCGGTATCATCCACCTCAGCCTTCCCGAAATATCAGATGAACGACTGCATCGGGGAAATACGAGAGCCACCCTAGCGCCTGTCTTGTCGTCATCAACTCCGACCTAGAGAATCGAGGATTTAATTTCCCAAACGGAGAAAACGACAATCTCTGGCTGAGCGTGAGTCTTCAGGACCAGAAGCTCCTGATGTTGCAACTTGGCACAGAAGAGAACTGAAGTGTCTGGAGACTTAACCAGCGGATGAAGAAACGACAGATATTTCGCAGCAGTAAGAAATAGACTGTCGGCAGAAATAGACGGTTGAAGCGCCTGAATCCCCCACTGGCCGTACGGTTTGCAATATTGTAGGCACGTCCAACAACTTGTGCGCTTGCAGGTCTTCCTTAAAGCAGGCAGAGACCCTCTTCAGTGTTAATTTAGCGAATGTCACGACAGAGGAAATCGTCGTCGAATAGTTTGAACAAGTGCAGAAGTTGAAATTCAGAATAATCCATCACGCACATCTTCGGGAACCTCCAAATTGCTTACACAAGATTTTGCACGAACAACTGGAATCATATCACCGGACCAGGTAATTCCAAACCGATAAAGAGCCCCAATCGCAGTCCTGTTCAAGCTGCTCAACAGCAGTGGACGCTTCGCTACGGGAAACTAGATAGCTCAACCTCAGCGAAACGTTGAAATTTGCCCCATTTGGATGCATGAATTCCCAGACAAACCGCGTAAGACGCCAGCTTTTCCTGATAGATGCTTAGGAATGCCTGCAACACGCGCTCCCCTCCAGATGCTTCTGTGAGCACAGGATGTGACACACAGCGCCTGATCTTGCTCACGCCACCTTGCAAACGGGAGCAAATCAAGAGGATCGACTTGCCTCGGAAAGGCTACGTACCAGGGCCAGATACGATCGTCGCTCGAGGAGACGCGCGGAGCTAGCCTCCAGAAGAGAGCGACAGGCAACTCGTAATGAGGGACGACCCAGCTACGAATATAAGATCCGGCCTTCAGAAAGGACAGCTCTTCCTTCAGCTTACCCACGCTGGCCTTTTGTCGACCAAATCAGATCCCATAGACCATCCCAAAAAACATATCCTGCCTCCCGCGCGTCTTGCGCGGCCACCAGCTCCGACCTATCGAATCGAAAGAGAAAGCTACGCTTGCGATATACCCTAGAACGCATGACCGACTGAGGACGGGTCTTCAGACTCAACAACTCCTCCAATAACAAGGCCGCAGCACAAAAGAACACCAAAATATCACTGCAGCAATACATGATTTCGTTTTCGTGTCTACATATGAGTTCTGTATCTTACAACCAAGCCTTCACATACTCCGTGATAGCTACAAAAAAACCAGTTACCTCATAGAAGTACTTCAACAAGGAGCGATCCACAGACTACTCCACGAGCAATTTGAATGCGTTCATTCTTTATTCCTATGGGCATTGGCTAATTCTGGTCGGTCCTGCTCGCGCTGATCCAGCGCAGGAGCCAATGCGATACGGCTGCCAGCTCCGTCTTCAAGCCTGGGCGACGCGTATAAGATCTCTCTCCCATCTCATGTCATGCCTCTTCGGAATCTCAAGGCGCAAGCTCTCGCTGCAAAGAGCTTGAAACCACCTGCGATACAGAATACTAAATATTCTGACTAGTAGCCAAGGCAAGGACAAGCACCGGACAAGAAAGCATGCCTTCACGGTGACCAACTCCTGCTTCAGCGCAGCCATGCTGGCCTTCAGCGCATAACAACGGCTACTTCAAATTAATATTATTTATCCTGGAAGTACGCCAGGCCTGATCTTGATCACGATTCCTCGCAAGCTGGAACACATTAAAAGGACAGGCTTTCTGCCTCGAGATAGCCCGCTCTGCTGCTCCCTGAGAGATCCACTGTTGAACTTGCTCTAGACTCGCCTCCGGAAAGCATCTTGAAGCAAGGAGCAATTGCGAGCCCTGAAACGAGATCCAGCCTTTATCCAAGATAGCTCTTCCTTCAGCTGACCCATGCTGGCCTGTCGTCAGCCAGGAATGCAACCGGCAAGTCAGCTTCCGCAAAGAATCCGAATCAAGTAGGCATCCTGCCTCAGCTTCGTGCTGCTGCTGGCCGGCAGCCTCCCATGCATTGCAAAGCATTTCTACGTCCACTCCGCATCCCATCTACCCGGGTGCCTGCCATGCGTCTTGCGCGGCCGCCAACTCCGACCTATCAAACTGCAAAGCAACATTTTCATTCCCTTGTGCGAATGACCGGCTGAGCATCGGTCTTCAGATTCAAGAGCTCCTCCACGGTCACGGTAACACTCACAAAGCAAAATCAAAGTTTCATCGCAATACTACATGATTTCGTTTCGCCTCTGCTTTTGGGGACCTTGTCTGTCACTCAAGCAGAAAGGCATTGGGAACATTCCCTATTGAATATCACTTACCTCATAGAGTTACTTTAATAAGGAGTGGTCCACAGGCCTCACCACGAGCAATCTGAATGCATTTTATACTTTGCAAACTAAGTATTTGTATGGAGACGGCCACAATGCGCCCAGGAATCACGAACAGGGCGTCCAAACTACTTCAATTTATTCTGGTCGGTCCTGCTCGCGCTGATCCAACGCAGCAGCCAATGCTGCACAGCAACCAGCTCCGTCTTCAAGCCTGGGCGACGTGTGCAAGATCTCTCTCCTATCTCGTATCATGCATCTTCGGAATCTCAAGGTGCAAACTCTCGCTGCAAAGAGTTTCAAACCACCTGCGATGCAAAATGCTGAAACTTCTGATTGGTAGTCAAGGCAAGGACAAGCACCGGACAAGAAAGCATGCCTTCACGGTGACCAACTCCTGCTTCAACGCAGCCATGCTGGCCTTCAGCGCATAACAACGGCTACTTCAAATGAATATTCATTATTCATCCTAGAGGTACGCCAGGCCTGATCTTGATCACGATTCCTCGCAAGCTGGAACATATTAAAAGGACAGGCTTTCTGCCTCGAGATTGCCCTCTCTGCTGCTCCCTGAGAGATCCACTGTTGAACTTGCTCTAGACTCGCCTCCGGAAAGCATCTTGAAGCAAGGAGCGATTGCGAGCCCTGAAACGAGATCCAGCCTTTATCCAAGATAGCTCTTCCTTCAGCTGAGCCATGCTGGCCTGTCGTGAGCCAAGAACGCAACCGGCAAGTCAACTTCCGCAGACAACCCGAAACAAATAGGCATCCGGCCTCAGCTTCATGCTGCTGCTCGCCGGCAGCCTCCCATGCATTGCAAAGCATTTCTACGTCCACTCCGGATCCCGACTACCCGGGTGCCTGCCACGCGTCTTGCGCGGCCGCCATTTCCGACCTATCAAACTACAAAGCAACATTTTCATTCCCTGGTGCGAATGACCGGCTGAGCATCGGTCTTCAGATTCAAGAGCTCCTCCACAGTCAAGGAAGCATACACAAAACTCATCAATACCGATAAGAAGACCAAAATCGACCTATATCTATAAGACGAGAAAAATGAAGCGGAACAGGCTATCTCTGTGGGCAAGGCTTTGCCTGTCCGTGGGGCGTTGCAGCAGGCAGCGACTTTGGCAAGAGCCTGAGAAGTCGTCAGAACGGAATATCCGGCTCGTTTGAGAAGCTGTTATTTCCTCACTGCCAAAGAACATCTTCCACCACAGGGAATCTTGAAGCGTTCAATTAATCAAGACTTCAATATACTACTTGTTGCGCTCCAGATGCTCTTCGTTTGCATCGCGATTCTCTGAATATCTTCGCCTGGACTCTAGACTTTAATTATTCGCCGTCAGAAATTCTGCTAAAACAACGATTGAAGCCAGACCTCCTGCAAAAATCAAATATCGCCCAATTCCAATCAGGAATCGAGCGGCGCAGTGAACTGTGCATCGGTCGCCGGCTTCCGCAACTGGCAACTCATTGACTCTCGAAGCTCCGCGAGATCCCTCCAATTACAAGCTAATTGTCGACGCAGGCCTCTTTTGGTGGCGTCTGGAAGCTGTCAACCTGAACGACCCCTCCAAATAGAAAGCCCACCGCCACCTGAGATGTACGTGCCAGTGAATGAGCGCGCGGCGGAAACATCCTCCTTGTTCAAGACTTGGACCTCAATAATTCATGAATGGGGGTAATTGCTGCATAAAGGACTTATCATGCTCAGGATTATAGGGGCCCCTACGGCCCCGACCCTCCGCGGTGTCACGCACGCCGACGAGGCCGCCTGGGATAAATGCACGCTGATAGACTAAGCACGCTATGCTGGATACCGATCAGGCTGCGGCAGCACGTTGAACCGGACGCTGCACCTCAAAACCTTCAGAGCAGTGCTTACAACTGAATCCATAATGAATCAGCATACTGGCGGCGCCACGATACCGCGGAGGTGTGCTTGTTCGTAAATGTAGTGTCGGCCTCATCATCCAAAAGGAATCACCGAGTCATGTCATTTCTCCTAGGGGCCAAACAGTTGACGAGCTTGACCTCAGAAAAGGTCCCGTGCGAAAGGAGGAGAGCTCGATTGGGAGTCGGATATCAAGATTCCGACCCCGCGTCACTGAGACCTAGGCCGTGCGCATGCAAGCCCTGAAAACCAGCTTAACGGAGAGAATGTGGAAGAAACCGACTGCGAGACGCAGTTCTCACTTGTTATGCAGGCGGTCAACAATTTTCGATGATCAATTTCGTAGTCTTCCCAGTCCAAGTCGCCACTAGAGGCGACGAAGCCCTTGGTGGATTTCTACGGTCAGCATATCAAATGGTTTCTAAGGTCAATATATCAAATATTTGAAAACATATTTTCAATTAATATATTTAATCTGTTAGGATTCGTTTTTTAGATATATAGATGATGATTATGTTCAGAATTTATATTCAGATAGAAATTGAATATCTTCAGATGTGTTTGGTGCAGACGTTTATAGATAAGTATTTATATTATATCAGTTCTGGGAGTTGGATTTTATTGAATTGTTATAATATTGAATATGGGTTTCTTGAAATATGAACTAATTTATTCAAAATTCCAATATTAAATAATTATGAGGTGTCACTCGTAATTATGAGCCTCGTTATATATGAGATCAATTTTATTTCTTCGATCATCTCCCTCTTGATATTGTATATATATATATATATATTCATTTATGGATATATGTCTATATATATTTTATACCTCTTTCTTTTCAGTATGAACTCTTCCTCCCTTTCTAATTTTTAATGAGATGATTTTTCAACTCACGTCGGTTAGCGCTAGTTTAAATCGCACACCCCCAAATCCAACCAGCTTGAACAGGCTTGAAATTTTTTGCGGACCGATGGGAGCAGTAACGATGTAGACCATATGTTCTCGAAGAATCAAAGTGGGCGGTTTGTGAAGATTGTCGAACTTATGTGGAAGCAATAGACAATAGATGATGGCAGAAAATCAGTCCAAATCGACGCAACTAAAACTATCAAAACCAGAAGTGTAAAACCCACAACGCCCAAATCCAAAGACTACTAAACAACCAAAAGAAGAAAGCACAAACGCACCAACACCAAATACAACAAGACAAAAATATTATATAAAACACCGGGCCAAGACTTCCCGTAGAAAAATATACGTAGATATATATATATATATATATATTTGAAGCCATATCTATATACTCATATATAGAGAACTATACGATTCTAACGGCAGAAATCTGAAGGATTAGAGAAGAAGACCTTCATACTTTCTACCAAATATCCACGAAATATTAGTTGACTTACACTAAAATATGTTTTGATTTTAGTATGTCAGTATCTTCTTGTTCCCGAATATACTGATTACACAATAGTCGTTGATCATTGCAAGTTGTAAAATGAAATAGAGATATAGATCTGCACAAATATATACTAATACTTGGCGAATGTATGTGAAATAATGCGAGCACCGGGCTGTGCATCTGTTTGGGCAGCTCGCAGCCTTTTCCGTCGGATCGAGCCTTGCGATATGATGACGCCTGCTGCACGCGGTGGCAAAAATTTCGTAGAAATACATCGAAGATTCCCAAGGCTCTGGATCATCATTAAACCCCGCCTTCGCCCCCACTTAAGTCTGGTACCCAGGGAGCCCGAAGAAGAATGAAGGTTCAATAAAAAAGAAAAAGAAGCAATCCCATAAGAAATATTTGAGGTTCTTTAATTTAAAGGACATAATCAATCGATTCTTCAAAACAGAAAGTTGATATAGTATCTGCTCCCATGAGAAAGCCAGTGCCATAGATATCTTCGGTATAAAAATAAGCCTCGCCATTTATCATTTCAAAAATAATACGTACTGACTTATCTTTACGTATTTTCATGAGCAGAACCTTTATGACAATGAAGAAATCTTGACTGAATATGATATCCGAAATAGATACTCTAATCTTCGTAAGTGTAGAAAGATGCGCAGTCTGCTATTTGAGTTTAGAGTTTAGACCTTCTGGGGAAGAGTTCATGATAGGAGTTCAAAACCTAGTGTGATAGTGCTTTCTAGCGGCGCCTGAGAAAAGACAACACAGTACCACTGTCGTGCTGACCCCATCCGCTTTTTCTTGTCAACTTGCGACAGCATATCACACCGCTATTCCGTGAACGAGGTATTTGAAAAAACACTGCGATTAATAAGACTACAATCGAATCAATAGGCGATTCCCAGGGTACTTGTACATACCAGATACCGGCAGCCATAGATGCCAATGGCGACGCTGCAAGAGTCTCCATTTTTCAGCGAAGCGCCTCCGCTGCGGCCCGGAACGGCACATTATGGCCCCGACGCTGCGCAAACTGCTGCAGCTGGGCCTGAGAGTGCAACGGACGCGCGGTCGCAAACTCGCGAGCGCGGATGGGCGTTTAAGGTGTGCCGGGCGGCGCCATTCTCGGGATCATGACGATATATACTCTTTGCAGAATTCGGCCAAGAGCTCCTGTCATTCAACATAGCAGACTCCACAATCTCGACTAGAATCGACGTCCATCTCTCTGCTGAGTGCGCAAGTTCGCCTTGGCCAGGGGCACCTTTTGTGCGGCTTCCGCCTCTACCTGCACAAGGCCCCATACCACTAGCCCCACATGGAAGCCTCGAGATGCTGGAGCCACGCCTGGCGACTGGTCTCGCGCAACAAACTCCTGGCTGAGTCCAAAATTCTGGACTTGCCAAAGGCTTTGGACCTGCCGACAGGCAAATTTTTTAATGGGCTGCGTTTATTGGTTTCTGCCTCGTCGTAGCGTAAAGCAGAGACGAGGTGGCCACCTTCGCCCGCAGTGTTGCAATACTCGGGACCTGAGGAACCCACAACCACCACGCGCGGCGCACCCCATGCGCAACGGCATGCAATGCTGCAACGGCCAAGAACACTCCGGAGCTTGCTGCCCGAGGCACGGCCTGCGATGGCCTTGCTGGCCCTGCGTCCTTATGTGCAAGTCTTTCCATCGATGAAACCGCTCCAAATTGACTGCTCGAAGCAATTTGCACTCAGGCCCAGGGCAACAACGTTGGCAGTGGAGTTGTGGACTCTGACCTCAAGGCGTCAAGCACGCAAATGTTTGCAGCTGCGCATATGTTTCTGCGAATTTCATACTGATCCGGGGGGCGCCACGACACCGCCGCACTGGGCACAGCTTCATCCACAACCTTCCCACGATCGGTGTCTCGTTGCTTTTCAATTCGAAGAGGCCCCGCTTGAGAGTAATGAAAACTATCTTATATTCACACTTGTCGACTACATCAGGCCGCCCTCCAGGGCTTCGGGCTAAGCGGGAGCTTGAGAATGCACGAAATACGGCGTCTGCCAGCTGGACTGCACAAGAAACCTGCTAGCCCAGACACCCCTTCACGCCTCCTTCACGCTCCTGAGTTTGCATCAAGATGCTGTTGCGTTCTGATCCTTCAAATATACGTTCAGCATCACTAATAAGCCACGGGCGTCTGTGCAGCGCTTACGCATGCCTGATCCTGCTCACCGCACCTCGAAAGCGGGAGGGTCAAAAGGCCGAGACACACTTGAGGACAACCGTTCAATGGCCAGCTAAGGTTTCCGCCCTTGGAGCTGTTGTAAACTAGCCTCCAGAAGAGTGCGACAAACAACCGGAAGTAGAAAGCACTGCCGCTCCGAAGACGAGACCCTGCCTTCATCCAGCACAGCTCTTCCATCAGCTGAGCCGCGCTTGCCTTCCAGCCAAATCAAACACTTCAGGACAACCAAGGTATCCCGCCTCAGTTTCGTCTTAAATATTGCAAGGACTCCCTGAATCCGCTCTAGGTACCTAGCTCCCCCGGGTGCCTGCCAAGCATCTTGCACGGCCACATGCTCCGACCTATGGAAATGCAAAGCTGTGTCTTGCGACGAATCCGAAAAGGAATAACCAACTGAGTACCGGTCTTGAGGCTCAGCAACTCCTCCAATATCAATATGAAAATGAAAAAATAAATAAGCATTAGCAAGCAAATCATCATGCTGTGGCCAATCCTGCTCGCACTGAACCAGCGCGGCAGCCAGTGCTGAATGGGATCCAGCGGCATCTTCAAGCCTAGGCGAGGTATGCAAAGGCAACACAAAAGGCAACACAATGTGCCCCATAGATTTCGTCATGATTCATGCCCCAAGCTGCGAGCTGTCGTTGCAACGTGCTTGAGACCGCCTGCAACACGAGATGCGAAATATCTATCTATCTATATCTATCTATCTACATATATATACACATTTTCTTCAGGAGAATGCCATGCCTGATAGTAACCGCAGGACCTCATATGAAATAGGCATAAAACGAAAGTGGATGAACCCAATATCCAGCCAAGTCTTCTGCTCCTGTGCCCCTTCCAAGCTGGCCTTCGGATTAACTGCTACAAGTGACAGCAGGGACCAGCTCTAAGACAACGCGCCTTTACGGCGGCCAGCTCCTGCTTCAGCTCAACAATATCGGTATCATCCACCTCAGCCTTCCCGAAATATCAGATGAACGACTGCATCGGGGAAATACGAGAGCCACCCTAGCGCCTGTCTTGTCGTCATCAACTCCGACCTAGAGAATCGAGGATCTAATTTCTCAAACGGAGAAAACGACAATCTCTGGCTGAGCGTGAGTCTTCAGGACCAGTAGCTCCTGATTTTGCAACTTGGCACAGAAGAGGACTGAAGTGTCTGGAGACTTAACCAGCGGATGAAGAAACGACAGATATTTCGCAGCAGTAAGAAATAGACTGTCGGCAGAAATAAACGGTTGAAGCGCCTGAATCCACCGATGGCCGTACGGTTTGCAATATTGTAGGCACGTCCAACAACTTGTATGCTTGCAGGTCTCCTTAACGCAGGCAGAGCCCCTCTTCGGTGTTAATTAAGCGAATGTCATGACAGAGGAAACCGTCGTCGAATAGTTTGGACAAGTGCAGAAGTTGAAATTCAGAATAACCCATCACGCACATCACCGGGAACCTCCAAGCTGCTTACACAAGAACTTGCACGAACAACTGGAATCATATCACCGGACCAAGTAATTCCAAACCGATAAAGAGCCCCAATCGCAGTCCTGTTCAAGCTGCTCAACAGCAGTGGTCGCTTCGCTACGGGAAACTAGATAGCTCAACCTCAGCGAAATATTGAAATTTCGCCCCTTTTGGACGCATGAATTCCTAGACAAACCGCGTAAGAAGCCAGCTTTTCCTGATAGATGCTTAGGCTTAGGAATGCCTGCAACACGCGCTCCCCTCCAGACGCTTCTGTGGGCACAGGATGTGACACACGTCGCCTGATCTTGCTCACGCCACCTTGTGCAAACGGGAGCAAATCAAGAGGATCGACTTGCCTCGGAAAGGCTACGTACCAGGGCCAGATAAGATCGTCGCTCGAGGAGACGCGCGAAGCTAGCCTCCAGAAGAGAGCGACAGGTAACTCGTAGTGAGGGAAGACCCAGCTACGAACATAAGATCCAGCCTTCAGAAAGGACAGCTCTTCCTTTAGCTTACCCACGCTGGCCTTTCGTCGACCAAGTCAGATCCCATAGACCATCCCAAAAAACACATCCTGCCTGCCACGCGTCTTGTGCGGCCACCAGCTCCGACCTATCGAATCGAAAGATAAAGCTGCGTTTGCCACATACCCTAGAACGAATGACCGACTGAGCACGGGTCTTCAGATTCAACAACTCCTCCAAGAACAAGGCCGCAGCACAAAAGAAAACCAGAATAATACTGCAGCAATACATGATTTCGTTTTCGTGTCTACATATGAGTTCTGTATCTTGCAACCAAGTCTTCAAATACTCCGTGATAGCTACAAAACCAGTTACCTCATAGAAATATTTCAACAAGGAGCGGTCCACAGACTACTCCACGAGCAATCTGAATGCGTTCATTCTTTATTCCTATGGGCATTGGCTCATTCTGGTCGGTCCTGCTCGCGCTGATCCAGCGCAGGAGCCAATGCGACACGGCTGCCAGCTCCGTCTTCAAGCCTGGGCGACGCGTGAAAGATCTCTCTCCTATCTCATATCATGCCTCTTCGGAATCTCAAGGTGCAAGCTCTCGCTGCAAAGAGTTTGAAACCACCTGCGATGCAAAATGCTAAAACTTCTGACTGGTAGCCAAGGCAAGGACAAACACCGGACAAGAAAGCATGCCTTCACCGTGACCAACTCCTGCTTCAGCTCAGCCATGCTGGCCTTCAACGCACAACAACGGCTACTTCAAATGAGTATTCATCCTGGACGTGTGCCAGGCCTGATCTTGATCACGATTCCTCGCAAGCTGGAACATATTAAGAGGGGAGGCTTTCTGGAGAGGTGTCACGAGTGGGTTTTTTCGAACTCGAATCTTTGAGAGTTTGAACGTAGTACATGTTGGACGGGATTCGAGAGTTTGAAAGTTTGAAAAGTTTGGAGAATGAAGAGTTTGAAGTTTGAAAGTTTGAGAGTTTCGAGTTCGAAAGCTGGCGCGAGTTTGGAGCTTGAAAATTTGAAACCCAGGAAATTTGAAAGTTTGAAGCTTCGAAGATTGAAAGTTCGAAAGTTTGAAAAGGAGAAGGACCGCTGGAGACGCGTAGGGGTTCACAGAGCAGCCCTCAGGCTCGAGTTCGAAAGTTTGAGAGCTTGGAGTTTGAAAGTTTGAAACCCAGGAAGTTTGAAAGTTCGAAAGCTTCGAAGACTGAAATATCGAAAATTTCAAACTTTGGGGGGTTGAAGGTTTGAAGTTTTCAAATTTCGAAAGTTTGAAAGTTTGAGAGCCGTGGAGTTCGAAAGTTTGAGATGCTCAAAGTTTGAGAGTTTGGGAGTTTGAAGGTTTGTAAGTTTGAAGAGTTTGAAGTTTGAATACATTGAAAGTTTGAGTTTGAAACCATGTTGACGTCCTCATCTTAGGGTCTGGGCCCGGTAACTCCGAGTCCGATTCAATAGCCCGGGACCCCCCCGGGCGAACGGGTAGTCCTGGATTTAGGAAGAGGATGAGGGGGGGGGGGGGTGGGCCTGCAGTCCTGGATTTAGGAAGACTATGAAGGGGGGGGTGTTGTTCTGGATTTAGGAAGACCATGGGGGGGCGGGGGGGGGCGGCTTGGAGTCTTCGGGGAACCCCACCGCTCTGTTTAGACTGCAAACGCCCCGCTCTGCTAAGCCGCGAAAAAAATTAATGAAAGCGTCTCCCACTTCATACTTCACCAAAAACCAGGATTACGACCCCCCCCCAACCTCATACTTCGTCCAAAACCAAGACTTCGAGCCTCCCCCTTCCCCTTACAGTCTTCCTACAACCAAGATGTTAAGCCCCCCTTTCTCCAACACACGCAAAGGAGAAAGCAACACGAGAACGCTTCAGGGGGTTAAACGCGAAGAATTAAAATTCATTCAGAAGCTGTGCAAATGGGGGTGCTCTCTTAAGATCCCCCTCCCCTGATACGTCGTCCAAATCTAAGACGTCGAGGCGTCCCCTTACAGTCTCCCTGAATCAATGACTTTAAGCCCCACCTTTCTCCAGCACACACAAAGGAGAAAGCAACACAAACATGCTTCAGGGGGCTAAACGCGAAGAACAAAACTTAAGCATGAATGATTTGGAAGCTCTGCAAGGGGGCTGCGCCCCCCCAACCCCCTTCTTGTTTTGGACTGCAAACTCCCTGCTCTGTTAAGCCGCAAAAAAATAAAAAAGTAACCCCCTTCATACATCACCAAAAACCAGATTACGAGCCCCGCCCCCTCATACTTGGTTCAAATCCAAGACTCGAGCCCCCCCAGTCTCCAACACACACAAGGGAGAAAGCACACGAAAACGCTTCAGGTGGATTAGAAGCGAAGAAGATATCATGAATCATGAGTGATTTTGAACCTCTGCAGATGAGGGGGGGGGGGGCGTGGCTGAGGAAAACCGGGTCTATTTGGAAGCTACCGTTCGGTAAATATACTCACACAACGCTTGAAGAAGCTCTTTGTTCTAGATTTTCAACGACATCTCCCCACATTTGAACGTCGCTGGCTTGCCATGTACCATCACTCAATAGAGTCATTCCGCTTGAAGTTCAAGGCTGGCCCACTGCTTTTGGGGTTAGGCATGTCTTTTCGGGTTTACGCGCCTCTGGCGCACTCTTTGCCGCCATGTCCACTCCTTTTGGGCTTCCTGGTTGTACCAAACTTGTCTCAGTCTTTGCGGTTCATGCATTCCTTTCAGGTTTCTGCCTTTTCGGCTTCAGGTTTTCCATTCATTTTCTCGTGACAATCAACCGCTCTTTTAGCGTTTTCATAGTCTCTTACCTGGGTTTTTCGGTTCTGCACTTCATGATATCCGATTGGGTTTTTGTCCCACCATCCACTCCTACATCAGGTTCTGATATGGTTCGGGTTGTGGCAACCACCAGCCACTCAATTGAGGGTGTTGGGCTTAAGGAAGCAACCAATCTGTGTTGGATTTTAGGTCAGCTCTGCTTGGGGTTGGTGACGCACTTACCACGCATCATTTCCTAGCTTGGTTCACCAGTGTGGCCCACCCCTTCTCGGGTCCACCTTTTTGATTATTTGGCACCGTGCTTTCAATCTAAGCGGCTTAAAGTTTTCGGAACCAATCATTCCTTTTGAAGCATAGACTTTCATGTCTTGGCTTATCACCCATCTTCGCTTGTTGGCTTGGGATCTGGCCTCACATCTGAAAATGTATGTAACGTTACATACAGACCACCTATTCATTTGTAAATCTATCCGTCTACCTACCTATCTATCTATCTATCTATCTATCTACCTATCTGCTTATCTTGTTGTCCATTTATTTATCTGTCTACCTAGTGCGTTTGAGGCTGGGGAATTCCGGAACGAATCCTTGCTTCTAAAGCCTAAGCTTTCAGCGCTTTGGGACTACCGCCAATTTTCTCTCCTCGACTTCGGATCTGGCTTCATTTTGGGTGCTAGCCTATTTTGCGTGCGAAACCGTTGGAAATTCTGGCGCGTCTGCCGCGTATGTATATATGTATACCGCCACGTCATGGTCTCTTATCAACGTTTCGATTCTTCACTTCATGATATCCGATTGGGTTTTTGGGCCACCATCCACTCCTATATCAGATTCTGATAAGGTTCGGATGGTAGAAACCAGCCACTCGATTGAGGGTGTTGGGCTTAGGGAAGCAACCAATCTGTGTTGGAATTTAGGTCAGCTCTACGCTCAGCAGCCTGCCATTTCTTGGTGGGTTTCGAACTTACCATTCATAATCTCCTAGCTTGGTTCACCAGTGTGGCCCACCCAGTCTCGGGTTTATCTTTTTGATTCTTTGGGCACCGTGCCTTCAATCTAAGCGGCTTAAGGTTTTCGGAACCAATCATTCCTTTTGAGGCGTAGACTTTCATGTCTTGGTTTACCACCCATCTTCGCCTGTTGGCTTGGGATCTGGCCTCACGTTTTCACTCCAATTACGGGGCACCGGCCGGGCTACCGTGCGTGCGATTCCGCGCAGCTCCATGCGCATCTGAACATGTATGTGCCCTCACATACAGACCAACTACTTATTTGCGGACCTATCCGTCTATCTATCCCTCTACCTTTTTGCTTGTCTTATTATCTAGCTATCTATCTATCATCTAACTATCTATCTGGTGCCTTAAAGGCTAGTCGGTTAGCCACTCCTTCAGGGGTCCACGTTTTTAACACCCTTCAATCGTGGCGGTGTAGGGGTTTCCGGAACCAATCCTTCCTTCTGAAGCATAAGCTTTTAGCTCTTTGGGACTACCGCCAATCTTCTCTCGTTGACTTCGGATCTGGTTTCATTTTCACAACAATTACGGGGTTCCAGCCTACTATGCGTGCGAAACCGTGAGAAATACCAACGCATCTGCCTACGTTAGAACATGCATGTGTCACGATATGTGTATATGCATCGCTACGTACATATGTAGACGACACAGAGCTGTATCACAATACACAGCTGACATAATTATGTATGTACGCATGTATGTGTATATATGTATGTATGTATATATATGTATATATCTATTGATATATGTATATTATTTCTGTATATACATATGCTAACAGAGAGAGAGAGAGAGAGAGAGAGAGAGAGAGAGAGGGCACATACATATGTACGGTTTATATATGACATGCTAAAACATGCGGCCAAAGTATTTGTGCATGTATCCTAAACAAACATATGTATCTACAGCCATACATATATACATATCGAAATTTAGACAAGGGCCCTTTACCTCATGCTCGACAAGAAGACACTGAGAGCTTCTTCCAATCTAGGCCCTTCCAAGATATCAAGAAAAGAAAGTTCCGCTTACCGCTCAGTCGGCACGAAGAGACCTCCTTTTTGTTTAGGTAAGAGAAGAAGACCCTGACTATCCCTTTCACCCTTCGAAACATGGAAGAGAGCTTGTCATGCTCAAGAAGAAAGGTGGAGCTCCCTCCAACCCTGAAACAAAGACGTCTGGTCCTTCCCTGAAGTTTCACAAGGAAAAGAGTGCTCCTCCACCCCATGCTGTTCCATGAAGACAGCTCCCCTCAGTCATTCGCGGTAAGAGAGGAGAACTTCTTTCTAGAAGAGAACTCCTTTGTTTCTAGAAGAGAACTCCTTTGCCGCGAGTCTCAATCCGGAGAAGAGTGAAGAGATCTCACTCCTAGTAAGAAAAGACAGAAACCCCCCACCAATGTATAGGTTCTCTACCTCGCTATGGCAAGCAAGAAAAAGCTCCCTCCAAGTTGACGAGGGCTCCTTCATCTGTTGGTAAAAGAAAAAATCCTCTGCCGGGTCCTGTACCCAACAACTCAGAAGAGAGGCCCCTCTGATTTCTTGAGCAAGAAGAGAGCTCTGTTGACTTCTCTGTCGACAAGAAGAAAGACTCCTTTTCTCTCGCAGGGGCGCACGCGCCCGACCATCTCCTCCTCCTCTTCAAAACTTGGAAAAGCGCTTACGATCAAGCTCCAAACTTCAAACCTTGACAAGGGAAGTCTGGTTCTCCCTGCGGCCTGCAAAGCGACATCAAAAATCCCTCCACCTCATCCTTTGAGACAAGAACAGAGCTCTCTCCAAGTTACCAAAAGAGAGATTAGAGCTTCTTTCTACAAAAGAGCACCTTTACCTTTTGCAAGGTTTTTCATCCTGATCTTAAGCACACCAAGGTAAGCACGCTACCGGTAAATATGGTCAGAGCTCCCTCCGTCTTCCAAACAACGTATAAGTTCT